CCCCTCTACTTCTGTTTCAAAACATAGTGTAGCCTAGGAGAGTAGTCATAAGGTCAATGCCAATGTTTTGTTCCGTTACTTTTCCATAAAGTACAAATCATATATATTTTTTAACAAAGCTGTAGGACAGCGATTGAATTGAACCGACAAGAATAGGTAGATGAAAGAAATTACTTAAATCCCAAGTAAATATTTTTTTTAAGTAAGCGAATTCACCTTCACATGAAAGCACTCACTCCTATAGAGTTATTGTAGTTAAATTTGAATTATTTCCCATTTGTGGGAAATAATTCTCATTCACTTCATTGCACTCCCCGGATAAGTAGTTCAGTTATAGACTCCAGAAGGGGAGTCGTACCGGTGTTAGACCGAGGATACACGAAGTTGACTTGTGGCAGTATCCGCAGTCGGCCCGATATCCAACATAGCCGAAGACTTCCTGCGATTCGTTCGCTTCCGCGATCCGTTCGCTTCCGCGATTCATTCGCTTCCTGCAATTCGTTCGCTTCCGCGATCCGTTCGCTTCCGCGATTCGTTCGCTTCCGCGATCCGTTAGCTTCCTGCAATTCGTTCGCTTCCTGCAATTCGTTCGCTTCCTGCGATTCGTTCGCTTCCGTGATCCGTTCGCTTCCTGCCTTATACGATTGTTTCTTCTCATTTCAGACTGAGTAAACCGAAGAGTTCAGTTACAGCCCTTCATCCGACTACCCAGCCGAATACCACCGTCCCGAAGGCAAGAGCCGAACGCCAACGAACATGACTGTCGCCCAAAAAAACCGAATACCACCGTTCCGACGACAAGAGCCGAATGCCTATATACGATATTTTGATGATTTTGGCTACATTATTCACCGTTTATTTCAAGTTTCGAATTTGTATATGGTAATAACTTATGACAAACAATGCCCACGTAGGTCCACGTCGTAGACACAAATATAGCGGCTATATTCGGTATTTTTAAAATTTTAACAGAATTTTTTAAGGATTTTATTTCCAAATTCGTTTCAAATGGTGAAACGTATTCGAAGTTCTTACTGCTTACTGCTTTTTAACTTATTATATTTGAAAAGCATGCAAAATGCACTGTCCACTTATCCCACAAGTACTGGTATAGGGTTTGTAACACACCTAAAGCCATATTGCGCATCACCAAAATATATGAATATATATGTTCCATAAATTGTTAATTTTATTATATGTTCAACCATTTTTATAAGAATATATATAACAAAAATTGGTCTGAAATCATTTTTAATGTAAGACTTACGGATTAGAATAATTTTGCATATTTTCCGCATTAATGGAAAACTGAGGTGTTTATTACATGAAGCACATGGCTACCTATAACAAACAACATTATTCGACTTAATTGGAGACTGATCAAATGAGGGAAAATCCACCAGATCCCCTTACTTCTGTGGGCATTAACATCGTTGTTTTTCCAAGACCATAACTATTCGGGATAGGCCATATTTCCTTTTTTTATCCTCAAATAATCAATAATGCACCGATGCTTTTAATATATGAAATACCCTCTTTTCTTTATTACGATTTTCACAAAAGTCGAGCCAGTTGTCACCAGTCGGTGACAATATTTTTCATACATGAACAGGAAAGCATCTATGAAAGTCAGAACATTTATTTTTGACCTTTGACCAATACATTTCCTTCTGGTTTTTCGTTTGACGAATTTGTTTTTTATATTTCAATTTATTTTTCCAATATTTCGACTATCTCCAATAGCCATCATGAGGGAGTTTAATTATTTTTTTTCTTCCTAGTTTTAAATTCGTTGATACAGCTTCTCCATCCTCTTGTAACACGAAGTTTCCAACTGAAGATAGTCGAAATTTACGTATCGGACCTAAATAAACATGATATAAATATTGCAACGTGCCAGGTTTGGACTATATTGGTAACTTCCTTCACTTTACTAATATATATACGATAATTTTTAGAAAATGTTAGATGTAGTCGATTGAAGCATTCCTTTTTCATGCTTCATCTAATACATATAAAAATACTGGTATGAGCAATGTTACAAGAAAATTGAATATCTATATATTCAATTTATGGAAAATCATAAATTCCATATTCATCTCAGGTTTCTGGCAAAGAGAGATATATTTAGATATAGCAAGTTGTAAAGAATCGCTGACTTGTTTCGCAAGTTATGACAGATAAAAGTATTGAAAATTGTGACCCTTTGTGAATGAGGTGCCGGAAGGGGTTCACAGATATTGTGATAGCAAAAATATTTTTATTTGTGAATTTTGAGGAGAATTCGATGCTTATTTCGCTGTCTTTAAGCCTTTGAGGGGGAGATACAAGAAGAAGTGGACCGATATATCCCTTCTTTACATCAGATATTTTGTTAGTGAAAATAATGGGATGTGTGAAATATAAAGAGAACCTGATGCTTATTTTGGATTTTATAAACATTTTGGTTATTCAAAAAGTTTGACCCTTTGTAGGGGAGGTACCAGAAAGAATGGTCCGATCTCTTCCGTTTTTATAACAGATCCTGTGTTCATAGAATTATTAAGATGTGCCAAGTCTAAATGGATTCGGATGCAAATTTCGCGTTTTATTTGCTTAATGGATATTCAAAATACCAGAAGGAGTGGACCGATGTATTCCATCTTAACACCAGATCTAAGGTTTATAAAAATATTGGGATGTGTGTGTGAAGACAATTGGATTCTTACATTACATTTTATAAGAGTCCCAATTATTCAAAAATTTTATCCTTTGTGGCGGAGGCACTTGATAGAGTGGACCGGTATTATTCATTTTTGTACCTGTCCTAGAACTGACGCAAATATTAGGATTTGCAAAGTTGGAGCAATATCGGATTATTGCTTCTCTTTCCGTGCAGAAAATATATTTTTATACCCTCCACCATGGGTAGGAGGGTATATTAACTTTGTCATTCCGTTTGTAACACCTCTAAATATTCGTCGTAGACCCCATAAAGTATATATATTCATAATCAGCATAAAATTCTAAGACGATTTAGCGATGTCCGTCTGTCTGTCTGTCTGTCCGTCTGTCTGTCTGTCCGTCTGTCTGTCTGTCTGTTGAAATCACGATAGAGCACACATTATTTGACGTAGACCTTTGAAATTTGGCACAAGTGTGTATATTGTCCCTAGGATGGTTGGTATTGAAAATGAGATATATCGGTCCACGTTCTGGTATAGTCCCCATATAACGGTACCTCCCGATATTCGGTATTTTGATGATTTATGCCACATTTTTTCACGGATTTATCTGAAAATTGGTATTTGTAGGTCATGACGGGTCCCTGAGCGTGTGGCAAAACATTGCATGTATAGGTCCACGTTTTGGTATAGCCCCCATGTAACGGTACCTACCGATATTCGGTATTTTGATGATTTATGCCACATTTTTTCACGTATTTGTCTGAAAATTGGTATTTGTAGGTCACGACGGGTCCCTGAGCGTGTGGCAAAACATTGCATGTATAGGTCCACGTTTTGGTATAGCCCCCATATAATGGTACCTACCGATATTCGGTATTTTGATGATTTATGCCACATTTTTTCACGGATTTGTCTGAAAATTGGTATTTGTAGGTCACAACGGGTCCCTGAGCGTGTAGCAAAACATTGCATGTAGAGGTCCACGTTCTGGTATAGTCCCCATATAACGGTACCTCCCGATATTCGGTATTTTGATGATTTATGCCATATTTTTTCACTGATTTGTGTAAAAGTTGGTACTTGTGGGTCATAATGGGTCCTAGGTCGTGTGGCGAAACATTGTAATTATAGGTGCACGTGTTGGTGTAGCCCCCTTTTTAACGGTACCTCCCGATATTCGCATTTTAATGTTTTTTGCCACATTTTTTCTAATGTTCTTTTACCCTAGGGTGGAGGGTATTAAAAGTTTGGCCCGGCCGAACTTAATGTTTTTTTACTTGTTTGTTTTTTTTTTCCGAAAATTTCGACCTTTTTGTGGGGGATGTACCAGAAGGAGTGGACCGATGTATTCCATCTTGGCACCAGACCTTGGGTTAATAAAATTATTGGGATGTGTGAAAATTGAAGACAATCGGTCTATTAAATCAAATTTTATAAGAGTTGTAGTTATTCAAATTTTTACTCTTTGTGGGAGAGGTATTATCTGATTATCTTTTGTCTTTCTGTGCAGAAAATATATTTTTTGAAAATTCCTACATTTTGTGTGGGAGGTACCAGAGGGAGTGTCGATATTGTTCATTTTCGTACCCGACCTAGCACTGATGAAAATATTAGGATTCGCAAACGATATTGTTCATCTCCGAACTCGATCTAAATTTAACAATAATATTACGATGTACTAAGTTTGGACAAAATCGGATACTCCCTTCGAGAGTTGTCGTGCGCATTAGCCAGCCAGACAGACAGACGGACGGACGGACATCGCTAGATCGATTCCAAATGTCCTGAAACGGATTTGGTTCAAAGAGACTTAGGGTCTAAAACCGTTATTTCGACTAGGCACGTTTTGGTCGTATCAAATGATATACACCCTCTGTAGCCATATAGCTGAGGGTAAAAAAAGAAAACTCTTTCGCACATTCACTCAAAGATTGTCATTCCTCAAAAAATCCAATTTCGAGAAAAAACGCATCAATTTGACTTCCCGAATCAAAAGTTTATTATCACAAAAATTATAGTATATGTACGTTGACATTTTTTGCATAGATTTGCTAAATTAAGGTGATTCAGAAACTCAGTATATTATTTTATTAATGTATGCCAAAGTTCAAGTAAACAAGTAAAAAAAGTATCGGCCGGTTTTGCCGACAGATGTATACCCTCAGCCCTCTTGACCCTCTATGGGGTGGGTTTTGAAAGAATTGGTCAAAATTGTCCATTTCGATATAAATATTATTGTAACGGTTTTTCGAGCGACCCTGCTGGGGATTCGAGCCACTAAGGTATTGTCTATTTTTCAGCCAATTGATCTTTTCTGCTGTTTGTGTTAACCATCTTGTCAAAAGCTTTGGAATGATAGCGTTGGTTTGTAATTTTAGAGGGTTTCTGTCGAGGATACAGTACTCTCGTCCGTATGAACATAAGTGAACATCTTTCCTCTTGAGTTGTAATTACAAGTGTAACTACAAGTGAGTTTCCTTGAACTTTATCCATGAGTTCACCACATTGAGAATTCCACTCCTTAAATTCTAATTAATTTCCTACAGATACGATTCGGCACATGCACATTAGTGTTTGCGTGTTTTATTGCAAAACTCCGTATTCCACATTTAGGTGGTATTCACTTTTCGTTTCTTCTCTGTTAGTGATTTGTTGAAAAAGGTAATTTAATTTGCCGTGACCTTTTTCTTAATCTTCCTTAATTTTGCAATTCGTTCTCATTTATTGTTTGATAGATTCTAAGCAGTTATGTTAGGAAGAGGCATAACAAAAATTGGAACAAACTTTTTATTGGTTGCTGTCTTTTGGCGTTTGGTTTTGCTAAGTAGACATCAAACATACAGATCAGTTTCATGCAGCTGTCGAGATAATCGCATAACTGACGTAAGGCTCAGAAAAAAAATAATCCGTCAGTACTTCATAGTATTTAGAGTGTGTCACTGGAGAAGAGTTCAGAAAAATTGTCATCTTAACGAACACTGCACTTTTAGTGATAAATTTCCCTGACAGAAAAGAAAATTGCAGCCGGATTCACCGTTTAATAATTAACAGAACAAACTATTTGTCGTATATTCGGTAATAAACCATTGATCAAGTGGTCGAGTTCACCTAAATTGAGCCCGGAGTGATTATGTATTCTGTAAGGTAAAGCAAATGATACCAAAATGTGGCGAATACGTTTACAGACAATTTTTTGTTTGTATAACACATGGTAGAAAAATACAGGTAGACGCATCGACGCAGTTCCTGAGACAATGAACTGACAAACTGAATTTGAAATTAACAAGTAAAAAAACATTAGGTTCGGCCCGGCCAAAGTTTTAATACCCTCCACCTTAGGGTAAAAGAAACATTAGAAGAAATGTGGCAAAAATCATCAAATTACCGAATATCGGGAGGTACCGTTATCTGGGGGCTATACCAAAACGTGGACCTATAATTACAATGTTTCGCCACACGAACTAGGACCCATTATGACCCACAAATACCAATTTTTAGACAAATCAGTGAAAAAATGTGGCAAAAATCATCAAATTACCGAATATCGGGAGGTACCGTTATATGGGGGCTATACCAAATCATGGACTCATACATGCAATGTTTCGCCACCGGAACTGGAAACCATTATGAAAATGTGGGAAAATGTGGGAGGTACCTTTTTATGGGGGCTATACCACAACGTGGACCTATACATGCAATGTTTTGCCACACGCTCAGGGACCCGTTATGACCTAAAAATACCAATTTCTCGACAAATCCGTGAAAAATGGGGCATAAATCATCAAAATACCGAATATCGGGAGGTACAGTTATATGGGGACTATGCCAGAACGTGGACCGATATATCCAACCATCCTAGACACAATGCAAATAGCTCTGCTAAATGTTGGCGATCTACGTCAAATAAAGTGGGCTGTATCGTGATTTCAACAGACAGACAGACGGACAAATCGACTTAGAATTTTATGCTGATTATGAATATATATACTTTATGGGGTCTAAGACGAATATTTAAGGATGTTACAAACGGAATGACAAAGTTAATATACCCTCCTTTCCAAAGTGGAGGGTATAAAAATGTTGAATGAAAAAATTTTGATTTATGTAAAAATTGTGGAAAATGCATATCATAACAAACTCCGATTGGTGCCGTATAAGAAAACTTATAAAATGTACTTATTTAAAAAAAAACATTTTAACAATTTTGGCAATTTTCCCAATCGTTGATGCATCTACCAATGTTCTTCTACCATGGTATAACTTTTCATTTAAAATTTTCAATTTAAAAATTGGTTTCACAGTTCATTGGCCCTGCAGCTGTGCGATGCGACTACCTATATTCTTCTACTATAGTTTTGAAGTTTGTTTTGGTTGCAGCGAATTCAAATTTAATTAACAGATCGTCTGGTAATCAGCTGAGCTGGAAGGGCGACCTTATACTTGGATCATGCGGCAAATGAAAATAGAGAGAGAAGATGTGTGCTTTGTTTATACTTTTTCGTTCGAGGCTGCTCATAGCTGATCTGATCTTAATCTCTTAATCCAGCTTTGCTGTTACAACGTGTAATTTCAGAGAAAGTACTTTCAACGAGGGAACGCAAAGAAGATGAAACGTAACGACGAATTCTTTGTTTTGATTCTGCACAGAAGCAAAACCTAGATAAAAGAATTGCTTTTGTAACAATAATAAAACAATAAGAAGAGTGACCATATGTTTTATTTCATGTTATAACTTATATTGCAAATATTAACTTGAAATAAATTTCAGGATTTTAATATAGAGTTATGACATGTTGTTTATGTTTTCACTTGATATTAAATTTAATATTGATGAGAATTTTTATATATATTTTTAAAAAACATAAGAAGTGTGTAATTTTCCACCGTACTATGGAGGGTCATTCCGTTTGTAACTTCTCTCGACCCAACAAAGTATATATATTCTTGAACAGCGTAAAATTCTAAGTCGATTTAGCCATGTCCGTCTGTCTGTCTGTCTGTTGTAATCACGATATCTTTCCAACGAATTGAGATAGAAGTCTTAAATTTTGCACAAATGCTTATTTTTCCAGTAGGCAGGTTAAGTTCGTAAATGGGCCATGTAGGTCCACGTTTTCATTTAGCCCCATATAACGATACCTCCCGACACTCGGTATTTTAATGATTTTAACGACATTATTCACCGGAATTGTTTCAAATTTGGTAAGTTCGAAATGGATACTACAGCTTAAGACAGAAAACTATCTGTGCAGGTCCAGTATGTTGATTCAGTAGATTTTAGAAAGAAAGTAGAAAGTTTGTTGTAATGTGTTTAGGGTTGCAACACATATAATATCAGACGGAAACATGACATACCCGCCGATATTCGGCATTTTGATAATCCTAGTCACATTTACCCACATAATTGTTTCAAACTTGGTATTTGAGAAGATTTGATAGATGACAATCCTTGAAGTATAAAATTGCTTATAGAGGTTCCCGTTTTGGTATTGCCCCATATAACGGCCTCACTCACTTTATGGGTTTTTGATAAATTTAACTGCATTATGCAAACAGTCTTACTTTTATATAAAAATGTTTCCTTTACCTTCCACGTATTGAAAGTTCGGCCTGGCCTGGTTTCTTGCTTTTTTTAATATAAAAATGTAACTGGCCTGCTTAATTCCAGAGTATATAACTAAAATTTTAGTAATACGAATGTTTTTTTGTAAAATGCAATGGAATTGAAAATGTGATATATCGGTTCATGATTTCCAACGGAATTGTTTTAAATTTGATGTTTGATTTGGTATTTTTAGTGGATACCAACCTATTAGCCAGAAAGTGGTCTATGTATGCCCATTTATTCGTATAGTCCACATAGAAAGCTACTACCCGCAATGTGGTGTTAATTAATTTGTAATTTAATTTTCCAATAAATGCCACCACAATAGCTGGTGTTCTGAGGAGATACCAATTACTCAATCAGAAAGAAATCTACATTTTACGGTACCTCCCGATATCCGATATTTTAATGATTTTACCTTTATTTACCAAATGAATTTTTTCTTTTTTTCTGTTAAAATATTAAAAAACCGAATGTAGCTGTTATATTAGGGTCGGTACGACGACATGGACCTGCATAGGTAAATTTTGTCATAAGCATTACAATATTCAAATGCGAAACTGAAATAAATCGGTAAATAATATAGCTAAAATCATCAAAATACCGAATATCGGGAGGTACCGTCATATGGGGGCTATACGAAGGCGTGGACCTGCAAAGACAAACTCCTGCCATGTCTTCATATGGCACATAGATTACGACACCTTCCTTTATTTTGTATTTTGATGATATTAGCGGCAGTACTCACCGGAACTTTTCCAGTTTGATGATATTAGAGACATTTTTCATTTTTCAATAGCTGGTGTTCTGAGGAGATACCAATTACTCAATCAGAAAGAAATCTACATTTTACGGTACCTCCCGATATCCGATATTTTAATGATTTTACCTTTATTTACCAAATGAATTTTTTCTTTTTTTCTGTTAAAATATTAAAAAACCGAATGTAGCTGTTATATTAGGGTCGGTACGACGACATGGACCTGCATAGGTAAATTTTGTCATAAGCATTACAATATTCAAATGCGAAACTGAAATAAATCGGTAAATAATATAGCTAAAATCATCAAAATACCGAATATCGGGAGGTACCGTCATATGGGGGCTATACGAAGGCGTGGACCTGCAAAGACAAACTCCTGCCATGTCTTCATATGGCACATAGATTACGACACCTTCCTTTATTTTGTATTTTGACGATATTAGCGGCAGTACTCACCGGAACTTTTCCAGTTTGATGATATTAGAGACATTTTTCATCGGAAATGTTTCGTATTTAAAGTTCATAATGGGTACTACAGTCTATTACAATAAATTGTGGATGCTGGGCCAGGTCTTTGTATAGCCCACATATAACGATTTTCCTTTGAACGGTATTTTTCGAAGGAATTTTTTGGAAGTTTTTCAAATTCCTTTAAAATGGTAAAGGGTTTTGAAATATCGGCCCTGCTGAACTTAGCTGCTTTTTTACTTTTTACCTTTAAAACCACATTTGGCAACCCATAGCTGAGAATATGATTTTTTTTTTTTTTGATTTTGGAGAAACTTGAAGTACTTATGGCAGATATGGTCAGTTTAAATATTAAATTACACGAAATGTCTGTGTTTTTTTCTATCATTTTTATTGAATGTTATGTTAAATGATCCTATCGATATTTTTTACTCAAAGAAATATTCATATTATCACTTCTATCTGCACTGCAAATGAACTCTGAGAATTTCCCCTCTTTTTGTATTTTTTCGCAGTATATTATTAAAAGAGCTAAAGTTCTACATTCTAGGGCATTTCGTGGCACTCTCAAACTTTTTTCCATAATACTGAAAGAAGTATGTAGACTATGGAAAAAATGAATTGCCTATGCATATATGGATCCTAATCGTGTACCAAAATGTCCCTTTAATCTTTAAAATACTGCAAATGGTGAGGTACTTTCATACAGAAGATACATCAAAGTGTGAACATTTTTTGCAAGAAGGAATATATTGTATTCAGATTCCAAAATGCAAAATTACATCAAAATCAGTTTTGACAAATTATTGAAAATCCTTCAAATAGAATTAGGTTCAATGCATGTTCAATGTTAAATACTTTTAGCAAATCAATTTTCTACCCTTTCCCAAACAGTAGTGTTAAATTTTGGCAAAATCGATTCAAAACATAGGGTAAAAATCCTCCAAAGAATAAATTGGGGTTATAGGGTTCTACCTTCTCATGCATGTTGAACCACAGTACTGTGGCAGAAAATTATATTTGTAGGTTGTCGATGTAACGGCATCACCGTTATCGACAAATATGTGAATTTTGTTAGTAGAGATAAGTTTCTGAAAGAACCAGACGTTTCACATTTCCCATAGTCTCATTATAATGAATAGGATCTCCGATATTTGGCATTATCCACTTTTTCTAACGGAATTGTTTAAGATTTGGTACTTAGAATTCGTGATTGGTTCAACCTCTGTGGCAGTACATTGTGGCAATAGCCTAATAGATACATCCCGATATTTGGTATTTTGGTGATTTTGGCAGCATTTTTCAGCGGAATCATTTACAATTTATTTAAACTATTTAATATCAAATAAAAGTATTTTAATACTTTTAACTCCTTCTTCATTAATACTACGAACTGGTAATGTCACTATTTTTGTCATTTTTCCTAAAGCAGCCAATAGTGGGGTTCTAAGTTTTTAAGTTTCTATTACATCGGTCGAAATCTACTTAACTTGTGTACCACAGGTCTGTGTAGTTTCTCCTTTGGCTACAGTCCCATATAACTGTACCGCCCGTTATATGGTATTTCGAGGAATTTTACTGCATTAAATCCCAACACTTTAAGTTTTCAAGAGTTTCTTAATCCCATGGTGGATCGTATTTAAAATTCAATCCGGCCAAACTTTACACCTTATTACTTGTTGCTTAATTTTGATATTCGATCTGAATTAGATAAAAAAACACGCGTTAAACCATTGATGGAGACGCGTTGCATAAAAAGACAGAGATCCTCTCAAGTCAAATGGGAATATCAAATAATATGTCCAAGGGTCATACGTACTATTTTTGCCGAAAATGAGACCTTTGAAATTTATTGCTGATTTCTTTTAAAAAACAATGCAAATCAATATACCACAATTTTCACTAAAATACTCGAGGTTTGTGTATTTGAAACGACAGCCACACACAATATCCACTAATTGGCCGTATGAACAATTGTACCGCCTTGACGTATCTATTCTTTACTAATAAAAATTTTGAAGTACAATTGAATGCATGATACGCCCATTCAACAAAACTTACATATATTTGTATTTTTTTAATAGTATTTTTATTATGTTCCTACAAAGTTACATACATATAAACGAACAATACTAAATGACATAGAATGAAGCGTGCTACATTGACTTGATTAGTAAAATCATTCTCGGGACGTGTTAGTTGGGTAACAACGAGTGCGTGGAGTGGTCGGTTCTGAAACGTCGGATTTACTTCAATAGCGTGAAACCATACAACTAAGTAATTTTCAAATTAATAAATTTTGGAAGAACATTTAGTAAATTTTATTCAAGTGAGTACATTTTAACAAAATGTATTTCGTTTATATAAAAATATTGCACAGTTATGTTTATCTCTAATATGTATTCTTTGCAATTTAACGCTGCAAATCCTGATATAAAAACCTACTGCGTGGCCCATGTGAAGCACGTAATTTTTTCGACTAACTTTCGTCGAATAGAACTTATATTTGAGGTGGGATTCGGGCTCCGTTTTAAGAATATATTAATAACTGCAATCAATATGATTAAATATCATCAATTTTATTTTTCCGGTTTTTATAGTACGAATGTTGATGTGTTACATAATAATCATTATGAATTTTCTTCTGTTTTTTTTTTTTTTGGTTTGGCTTTGGTCAGAAATTAAAAAGTAGATGAATTGTTTTTTTTATGTTTCAATTTTAACTCCGTTATTTCGACTTCAGTTGAAAATTTCGTGTAAGAAGAAGAGGATGGAGAAGCTGTATCAACGAATTTAAAACTAGGAAGAAAAAAACTAATTAAACTCCCTGGTGATGGCTATTGAAAATAGTCAAAATATTGGAAAAATAAATTGAAATATAAAAAACAAATTCGTCAAACGAAAAACCAGAAGGAAATGTATAGGTCAAAGGTCAAAAATAAATGTTCTGACTTTCATAGATGCTTTCCTGTTCATATATTTGAAAGTGTTTAGAGAAAAGAGAGTATTTCGTATATTAAAAGCATCGGTGCATTATTGATTATTTGAGGATAAAAATCCCAATTAAGTCGAATAATGTTGTTTGTTATAGGTAGCCATGTGCTTCATGCAATAAACACCTCAGTTTTCCATTAATATGGAAAATATGTAAAATTATTCTAATCCGTAAGTCTTATGTTAAAAATGATTTCAGACCAACTTTTGTTAAACTAATTCGTATTAAAATGGCTGAACATATAATAAAAAAAAAAACAATTTATGGAACATACATATTTTCCAATTTTGTTTTGGGTATGCGCAATATGGCATTAGGTGTGTTACAAACCCTATACCAGTACTTGTGGGATACGTGGACAGTGTAACAAAAACTTTCATTGTTTGCGAGGAACTTTTGTGAGTTATCGCCATTGGAAGATAATTCACCAATTAATTCCGTGGATTTAGGATTACGGGAGCCATTGAATTCTAGCTGCAGTCGGTCTTGGGTGGGTTACGTCCTAAATCCAACGAAATGGATTTAATTAACAAAATATTTTATAGACTCCCTATTCTTTGTGAATAATTCATAATTTTGTGGGGATACATTCAATTACCTGGATCTCAGATGTTTTGAGATCAGCGTATCCATGCCCTCCCTTACCTATGTCCCTTTTGCGCTACTTTAAAGGGTCCCAATTATAATATTTGGTCGCACACTACCACATCTTACGAAAAAACTGGGTTATTTTCTTAGCAATTCATATTACCATATAATTTATTGAAATAAATGTATATATACATATATAGAATATAAGTAGTGGTTTAATGATAGAATAGAATACTTGTAATTACCCTCTTCCGATTTATTTGTATGCCCTAAGGCTGATATATTAACTAATTAATTACATTTTTTCAATAAGTTATACGTGTTTAGAAAAATGTTCTTTTAAATCTCTATTTTAAGATTTTTAAATTTACGATATTTTAGGCAACAATATTTTCTGACATGGTAACCCTAAATATGTATGAATGGCTAGTTATGAAAGAAGAATGCAATTTCAATTACGTCAACAACAAAAATAACAACAAATGGATTGTGCGTATTTTACATATATGTTTCATTCATACCTTCATTACCAAGATCAGATTGATCACAAAAAGCAACAAAATAATACCGGTCAATGGTTGATCAGAAGAAGTAAGAACAATTTTGTTTTTTGTTTCTTTCTTCTTTTGTACTTTGTGCAAAAACAAATCGATCGATAGAAGCAACAAAAAAGTAGAATCTATTTTATTGCTTCTTTTTTCATTTATGTTTTAATTAAAAATAACCAATAGTAATTACATTAATGATTATTACATTTACTCACCAGAGCGTCTGACGTTCTCGAAGGCCTTCATGAAGTTGACGATTGATGATGATGTTCGCTTGTTAAAGTGCACAAAATATGTTATAATTATGTTGCGTTGGTGATACTGTATTCAGTACTGGAATATGATAAAGGGACTTTTCCTATTTTAATTAATTAGTTTAGTTTTTAAAATTTTAAAGATTGATTTTATAAGTAATATTACTTTTCAAATAATGTGGGCTGTATCGTGATTTCAACAGACAGACAGACAGACGGACAGACAGTTGAAATCACGATACAGCCCACATTATTTGACGTAGAGCACCAAAATTTAGCAGAGCAATTGCCATTGTGTCTAGGATGGTAGGTATTGAAAATGAGATATATCGGTCCACGTTCTGGTATAGTCCCCATATAACGGTACATCCCGATATTCGGTATTTTGATGATTTATGCCACATTTTTTCACGGATTTGTCTGGAAATTGGTATTTGTAGGTCATAACGGGTCCCTGAGCGTGTGGCAAAGCATTGCATGTATAGGTCCACGTTGTGGTATAGCCCCCATATAAACGTACCTCCCGATATTCGGTATTTTAGTTTTTGTTGCCTCTTTTTTCCACGGATTTGTCTAAAAATTGGTATTTGTGGGTCATAATAGTTTCCAGCTCCGGTGGCGAAACATTGCATGTATGGGTCCATAATTTGGTATAGTCCCCATATAACGGTACCTCCCGATATTCGGTTATTTGATGATTTTTGCCACATTTTTTCACGGATTTGTCTGAAAATTGGTATTTGTTGGTCATAATGGGTTCCAGCTTCGGTGGCGAAACATTGCATGCATGGGTCCATGATTTGATATAGCCCCCATATAACGGTACCTCCCGATATTCGGTATTTTGATGGTTTTTGCCACATTTGTTCACTGATTTGTCTGGAAATTGGTATTTTTAGGTCATAACGGGTCCCAGAGCGTGTGGCGAAACATTGCATGTATAGGTCCACGTTGTGGTATAGGTACTAGCTGGCCCGGTCCGCGTTGCCGGCACGTAATGTTAGTCTTTCATGCTTATTATATCCTCTACCTTGGAAAGGAGGGTATATTAACTTTCTCATTCCGTTTGTAACATCCCTAAATGTTTGTCATAGACTGTATGTCTGTTTGTTTAAATTACGATACAGCCCACATTATTTGATGTAGAGCATCAAAATTTAGCAGAAAAATTTGTATTGTGTATAGGATGGTTGGTATTGAAAATGAGATCTATCGGTCCACGTTTTTGTATAGTCCCCATACAACTGTACCTCTCGAAATTGGGAAATTTTGATGATTTTTGCCACAGTTCTCCAGGGATTTCTCTAACAAATATAACGATACTTACCGATATTGGGTATATTAATAATCCTAGTCTCATTTACGCACATAATTGTTTCAAATTTGGTATTTTAGAAGATTTGATAGGTGACAATCCTTGAAGTATAAAATTGTCCACAGAGGTTCCTGTTTTGGTATGGCCCCATATAACGGCATCATTCACTTTATGTTTTTTTTTAATAAATTAATTGCATTATCCTAACAGTCTTATATATAAAATACTTTTATATAAAAATTTTTCCTTTACCCTAAGGAGGATGATAATAATAGTTCTGCCCGGCCGAACTTAATTTTTTACTTGTTTTTAAAGTAATATGTAATGTTTGTCAGTGAAATTGCGCGTTGGAGACCCCATAATGTCCATATCTTATCTTATATCATATCTTATATCATAGTATAATACAAAGACGATTAAACAAATGTCCGGTTCCTTAAATCATATGATGGTTATACAATACGTGATCAGTTTTTGCAAGGACGGTTTCTTCCGAAATTACCAACATTTGCGAAATTAGTATGAAAATATGGTTTAGTATGAAAAATACTTATCCGGGGGCTATGACCCATATCATGAACTGCAAAATTGATTTAAGGTATTGTGAAATTTGAGGAAGAATTTCTGAAAGAATTGAAATGCTTTTCCCTCTTCTTTTTTGCACCCTTTATATTCGGTATTTCACTGATAGCAGTCCCAATGAATTTTGCATATTGAGTTCTCATCATTGGACGGATTATTGTTATGTGAAAGAAGTGGTTAGGTCCACGTACCGTTTTGTCGGTTATTTTTGTTTGTTTGAATGTGTTCGCAACATTTCACGCCAAAAGCATTTTTTCTTTTATATTTTTATTGGCATATTTTACGCAATTTTTGTTTTGCCCAGATTCCATTCCGAAGTTGTATGAATTGTGAAAATCCATCAAAACGTTCTTGAGTTACAAGCATAGCAATTAATAAACATATTGAAAAAAATCTTTAACTTGTTCGCTGGTATTTTATTTTGAAATTTGATTCCATTGAAAAAATATTCTCTATTTTTCCCGATTTTAAGGTTTTTGTAATGGCTCTTTTCTGATTTATAAGCAATTTTGAAAAAGTAATTATCTTTTAACTTTGGTTTGACCACGTTAATTTATTTTCACATCATCTATTCAGGTCCGCCACTCTATAATTGTCGTCGCTTTATACTACCCAAAAAGACTACACATCATATTAGAATACAAAAAACAAAAAAAAAAAACACTACAAATGTACATTCCAAAATAGTAAGTCAAAACGGAAAAAATCATGCAAAATAAAACATTACTATTGTACACTTCAAAAGTCAAAATAAAAATTTTCAAATTTCACATTTTTACGCGATTTTTTTTTTTGGATTTTATCCCTTTCTGCCGAGAGACAATTCCGAATTCGTGTGAATCGTTAAAATCAGATGAGCGGTTCTTGAGTTATAAGCGTGGTAACTAACACAACTTTATTGTGTATATAGACAGATTAGAAGTATGCGTGTTTAGTTCCTCGGCCCCCAAATAAATCCTTAGGGTTGGAGGGAAAGTCAACAGTATCTCGTGCAATAATTTTCCAACCGATATCTCCTCTATATTGGCAAATATAAGGATTTTA